CTTTTATTCAGGGAAATTAATTCATTTCTCATGGCAATCTGCCATTTCTCCCAGTCAGGCCTTTTCTGGCACTCTGACACGGACCTTGGGTCTGGATCATCATTTTCATTTTCAATTTCTTTGGATACTGAAAAGGAGAACATATCATTTGTATCATTTATCTCACTTCTAACCCATAATATCCCACTTTGGGCGAAGTTAATGGAAATCTCATACTTTTCAGTATCATGTTCGTCTTCTGGGCGAACTTCTTTAACTAGTTCTTCTGGAACCTCTTCACCAATGTCTTCAAGACATTTTTCTTTATTCGGTTCTTATGTAACCTTGTCTCCCAATTTTTTTTTCTTTCGAGGATTTTTATCCTTCGAGCCCATCGGCCTCCCGCGCTTTAATTGAACCCGCGGTTCATTTGCTTTATTCCCATCAATAACTAGTTCCGGAACATTTATTTTTGATGGAGCATTAGCAGCTGGGATATATGATTTTGTCACTCTTCTCGTATCTGTGAACGCATCAGGTAACTGGTTTGCCAATCTTTGCAAATGTATGATTTTCTGAACTTCCATTTCGCATTGATGGGTAGGGGATCGAGATAAACCAAGGTTTGTGTACACCATGTGATATCCTTTGGTGATTCTCTTGATCCTCCCCCCAACGCTGGGAATTCATTTTCATTAAAGTGGCAATCGGCAAAACGTGCCGTAAACATATCTCCAGTTACCGGTTCAAGATATCTAATTATACTTGGTGACGTATAGCCGATATATATTCCCAATCTCCTTTGTGGCCCCATTTTTGTTCTTTGCAGCGGGGCTATTGGGACATAGACCGCACATCCAAATATACGGAGATGGGATACATTTGGCTCCTTGCCAGATGTTAACTGTATTGGGGAATATTCATTATATGCACTTGGCCTCATCTGGACCAATGCCCCAGCATGCAATATAGCATGTCCCCATACAGTAATTGGGAGTTTTGTTCTCAATATTAACGGTCTTGCTATCAGTTGCAACCGTTTTATTAAAGACTCAGCCATGCCATTTTGTGTATGAACATGTGGAACCGGATGTTCAACATCGATTCCTAATGACATACAATAGTCATTAAAGGCTGCTGAAGTGAATTCACCAGCGTTATCAAGCCTAACTTTCTTTATGGCATAATCAGGGAATTGCGCTCTCAACCTGATTATTTGGGCAATGAATCTTGCGAAAGCCATATTTTTGTGGTCAATAAACACACATGTGACCATCTACTAGATGCGTCAATTAATACCATGAAATATTTAAATGGCCCGCACGGTGGATGAATCGGCCCACATATATCACCATGTATTCTCTCTAAGAATACAGGAGATTCATTCCCAATTTTGACTGGCGAGGGCCTAGTTATGAGTTTTCCTTGAGAACATGCCTGACATAAAAACTCTCCCGATTGAAAAATCTTTTGGTTTTTCAATGGGTGGCCATTCGAATTTTTCACAATCCTTCGCATCATGACTGATCCAGGATGGCCAAGTCTTTCATGCCATATTCTAAATGTAATAGTAAACCCCGGGTTTACTGTAACATTCAGTCATATTTATTTTTGTGCAATATAACCCAGAGGACATCATTGGTAATTCTTCCAATACGTGTTTCCTCTCAGATATAATGCAAAGATATTCAATGCCATTCTTATTTGTACTTGCTATATGATATCCATTTCCTCGGATATCTTTAAAACTTAGCAAGTTTCTACTGGATTCGGGGGAATATAATGCATCATTTATTTCAAACTTTGTCCCCCTTGGCATTGAAAAATTATCTCTTCCGGAGCCAATTATAATATTTGCATTACCAGATATGGTACCCACGCTTCCGGCGGAGTCCTTTATTTTGAGACATGATAAATACTTTTTATCTTTAAGTATAGTATGTGTCGTAGCACTATCGGCTAGACATGTATCTCCATCCTGAATCTCAAATGATGTCATAGTCTGAATCACAATATGCAAGAAAATGCATTAATAAATCAAAAACATGATTTTAAAAGTTAAAAAAAAACATTTTTATGTTTACAAAATATATTACATTCTTATTTAAGATTACATTGGTTTTTTTTTATCTTCTACATAAAGAAATTATATTACATCGATCTTAATCGCTTTGTTTCCGTTGATTCTTCAGGATCAACAAGGAAATCAGCGATATCAAGATGAGTATAATCACTGATGCCATCAAAGGAAGGTCCCGCTTCATCAGAGATGAAATTGGTTTCAAAATTCTTTCCTTTATCCTTTTCTTTGGCATCTTGTGATGCTCGGTACAGATCGGCTAAATGTCTTGGTGTACGACATGTTTTTGCCCAATGATTTTTCGTGCCGCATCTGTAACAAGCAGTTTCCTTTTGCTTTCCTGCTTCCCGACCAACATCATTTTGTCTTCCTCGTCCACGGCCTCGTCCGTGACCACGGTAACGGTTTCGACCGCGCCCGCATCCGCGTTCGGTTCTATTATTTTGACTGGATGACGCAACACTCGCTTCTGGGAATGGTGATGATCCAGTTGGACGAGTTTGATAGTTTAACATCACGAGCTGATTATTTTGTTCAGCTACAAGGAGGACTTGCATCAACTCCGAGTAAGTGGTGTAACATTTTGCCCGGTATTGTTGTTGCAGGATTACATTTCCAGGATGAAATGTTTGGAGAGTTTTTTCGATCATGTCGAAATCACTTACCTCATGTCCACATAACATCATCCTGGAAGTAATTCCGAACATAGCGGAATTATATTCACCAACACTTTTGTAATCCTAAAATCGGAGGTTCAGCCACTCATGTTTGGCTTTTGGTAAGATCACATATTTTTGGTGATCAAACCTATCTTTAAGAGATTGCCAAAAATCTGCAGGATCTTCTTTCGTGATGTATTCTTCTTTTAAACTATTATCGATGTGGTGGAACAAAAATATCATGGCTTTCGCCTTTAACTCATCTGATGTCGTTTCCGACTTATCGATGATATCGAGAAGCCCGTTTCCTCTTAGATGCATTTTTGCACCTACTGTCCATGACATATAATTTTTTCCAGACACATCAAAGGCAGGGATTTCGAGCTTCGCCAAATTTGACATTATAACTGTATATAATTTTATCAGTTTAGCAAACGTTCAGTATTAAAATTTGCTTAACGAGAAAAACATGATAAAAATTTAATTTTTACACATAATAAAGCATAAAATTTAAAATAATACTGGAGGCAGAGTCTTTCATATAATTTGAGGAGGCATAGCCTACTATATTTTTTGAGGAGGCAGAGCCTACCATATTTTTGAGGAGGCAAAGCCTACCATATAATTTTGAGGAGGCAGAGCCTACCACTCCATAAACATAATATCAAGGAGGAGGTTTAACCTTCTACTCCATATATATGATTTGAGGAGACATAGTCTACCATATGATCATATGATCGTGAATGCATAGCCTATCTCAACGATCTGTTCGGGGAAGGCAGAGCATATTATCTCGTAAACTTTAATATAAATTTAATTAACGGTTCGGGGAAGACAGAGCCTATCATCCCGAAAATAATACGTAAACTTGAAATAAACATAAATTTAAATCTTACCTCTTTAGGTATAAGAGCGGATCAAGAGACGTTCATGCTGATAATGTTTTATGTATTATATATATAATATGTGAGGATATATATATGTGTTTGTATATATATATATATTATAATATTCTTTAGGTGGAGAAAGAAGAGAGAAGAAGGGAAGACGTAAGAAGATGAGAGAGTTGTATTCACTTAAGTCAATTCACTTTTACATCGCATGATGTCTATTTATAGGCAAAAGAAAAGTATAAAATATTTACTAAATCGGTAAAACATTGGCGGTGAATATGTGGATAATTATCCACTCTTTAACATTACTAAATTTTTTTTGCTTGCTTGAAACGCGCTTTTTAATGTGTTTTGTATATTTTTGCGTCTTATTGTCAGTGAGCAATTATGGGCCTAAAAAATAAGGCTGAAATAGGCGTATTTCTTTTCGATTAATTCTGTATTTTTTTTTAATGTAACCATCTATTGTCCATTTGAAGCAAAATTTTAGATGTTCTTATAGTTTCAATCAATTAACGAACTAGCCTCTGATTCAATCCAATCGTAGTTTTTTTTTTTTTTAATGAATGTTAAATTTATTCAAACAAAAAAAAAACGTTCTTACATCAATGATGTTTGCATGATTGAAAACAAATTAAAATCGCACAAAGTATTACTAACTAGTCTTTAATTTGGTGATCTTGAGGCTATCCAAAGCTGGCAGCCTTCTTCGTATTTGTGGTCCCCTGCAATCGAATAGAGTTGAATCTGTTTTTCATGCCTTTGTCTATCCTCTTTATCAGCTTTTGTGGCGTTAACGGGTGCTCACCATGACATCTACCATTCCGCTCACCCCAAATATGGTAAAGAGTGATGAACAAGTATTTGACTGTAAAATCTTGAAGAAGATTCTGGTTTTGGTATGTTAAGTCCAATCATAGTTTTTAGTATGAGAGATATCGAAAAGAAGGTTCCTAATCTGTGAACCTTAATGTTTTTTTTTTTAATGGGTTTTCAAACTAAAAGCAGGAGAAATCAAATGTTTTACAGAAGTAATACAACCTGAACCACTGGAGGTTGATGTCCAATCAAATTCGGTTTTATCGGTACAAACTCTATTTTTCTACATGCTTCTTCTCTGTACAACACTCTCTCTGTTTTCATCAGAAAGTTGCATGCTGATTTCAGTTAAATGATTTAACATGTGTGCCATTTCATAGAATACCATTTTAAATGAATGTCGTTAAAGCTTTATTGTTTTGATTAAATAAACTTCTTGTCACCATAAAAAAAAAACTTCTTGTCATTAGTCTCTTATGAAGATCGATTGCAAGACGTTTCTCTCGTATGGAAAGAGGGAGCTGCGAGACAAAACTATTGTAAATTCATGAACGCAGAAACCCACCGGAATCATAAAACGCAAACGCATATATTCATACCAAACGATAATACAACGCAAACGGAAATACAAAACGATCTGAAATTATAAACGCTAAAACCAAGTCCTAGAAAACACAGAGAAACGCCAAATTCCTTAACCGCCGAAACCATATAGCGTCCTTCCTTGTCTCTTGAGAGCATAAACCACATCCATGGCGGTCACCGTCTTCCTCCGTGCGTGCTCGGTGTAAGTGACGGCGTCGCGGATGACATTCTCCAAAAAGATCTTGAGGACGCCACGTGTCTCCTCATAGATCAGACCGCTAATTCGCTTAACGCCTCCTCTACGAGCCAATCTCCGAATCGCCGGCTTGGTGATTCCCTGGATGTTGTCTCTCAGAACCTTCCTGTGACGCTTGGCTCCTCCCTTTCCCAAACCCTTGCCTCCCTTTCCACGACCAGACATTTTTACAGGAAACGTGAATTTTCTCGAGAAAATTAGCTATATAGATTTAGGGACTGTAATCAGATTGAGGAATTTACAATGGGGGAGGAGGTGATTTATATGGAAGACGAGACCCTTTTGATGTGAGCCCTTAGATATAGTTCTTGATCTAACGGCTGTTGATATCGATCTAGGTGAACAATGAAACGACATATTGACCGTCGATTTATCTCTATCGACGGTTAGTATTGTCGATCCGCGTGATGCCAGCAAGTGGAAAATTTATAATTTTCATTTAGCGCCACGTATTGGGAGAGTAGCGCCAATTATTTCCACCGGCTTTTTTTTAGGTCAATTTCACCGCGTTTTCTTAAGTTAAAATTTTACGAACGTAAAATAAAAATCATCATATACACATTTTATTTTTGTCAAAGTCATACAAATTTTATGAAACCGGATACTCTAACTTTATTGGCCTTATGAATTTTTCCTTCCAACATTCACGTATACATTTTACAACGGTCATCAGGGGGTTTATTCAACGAATATATTTAGTAGAATTTGAATGAATTTAAGTTTCTATTGAATTCTAGTGTTATTTCTCAATTCAATAAGACATTTTATATATTCTTTTCAAATTTGTTCATCACAATTACTAAACGTTTTATTGTTTACTCACATTTACTAAACGTTTTTTTTTGGTTTAATCAAATTTATTAAACGTTAGTGTTATTATACAAAGTTGCTAAACGCTTTGTTATATTATAAATTTACTGTCCAATAGACAGTTCTTCACATATTGGTTATAATATAATAAAGCGTTTATAGATAAGAACACATATGCTATCTTGCCTTAGGGTACAAGTCGGTATCAAAAGTCACACTCACTCTCAGCTCACTCGAACTATGATGAGAGTCCGCATCTTGATACCTACGTGTCCTCGCGTTTTCAGATGCAAGACACTCTTTAAGCTTGATGATAACTTGGGACATGTTTGGTCGTTTGGCCGAAGAGGGATTTGCGCATGACATAGCCAGTTCAAGAGCTTTCCAGACAGAGCGGGGCTTGTAATTCCGTTGAAGTTTAGAATCCACGATCTGACTGATATCTCCTTTATTAACCACAAATGTGACCCATTCCGCTATGTTAGGCCTTTCACGAGTTTGATCAATCACTCGTTAATTTGTGATGATTTCTAGCAATAAGATCCCGAAACTGTAGATATCACTCTTCTCAGATAACTCACTTGTTAAATAATATCTGGTACGCCAAGAAAATATGGAGTGTGATTCATATGTATTGTGCAATTCTTGCACCACTTTAAAAGATTGAAAACATATTTCAACCATGCATATGGTAAGTCGATGAATATACTTACTCAGGATCAAGATATCCCAAAGTACCAGCAACTACGGTTGAAACTTGAGTTTGATCGCCTCCAACTTGGAAAGATCTCGAAAGCCCGAAATCCGCAATTTTGGCTTTGAACTCTTCATCCAACAATATATTTGTATTTTTGACATCTCTATGCACCATTGCTGGTTTGCATCCAATATGCAAGTATTCTAATCCTAATGCTGCCTCGATGGCTATTTGTAGTCAAAACAGAGCCACCATTTTTGCCTACGTCACATATTTATGATTAATATATACTTAAGCTACAATACATTACTAGAGGTGAAAGTAACTAAATTATGCTTTTAATTAAGTTACATGTTTTTTTTTTTTTTTGAATTATAAGATACATGCTCACCTGATAAATGTTGATGTAAATCTCCATTGGACATGTATTCGTAGATGAGGGCAAAGTGATTTTGTTCATCGCAATACCCAACAAGACTTACCAAATTTATATGGTGAACTCTCAAAAGAAGTTCGACCTAATCAATAATGTAAAACAAACATACAAAATAAATTGGTTCAATATGTATAAAGTAATCCTCATTATAAATAACATTTTGCGAAAGAGTTAAAGCAATTCCTACCTCTGCCTTGAATTCTTTATAACCTTGAGCTGATGTTTGGGAAAGTAGTTTGACAGCTACTTGCTCTGAACCATTTAGGGTACCGTGATAAACGATGCCAAATCCTCCTTCACCAAGAGGTCGTTGCAAGTTCTTAGTAATTTCCATAACTTCTGAATAAGTAAACCTTCGTCGTTTTGTCTTGATCCACGGTTCAGACTTGTTCCCTAAACGTAAAGCATATGCAAGTACATAAGAGTAGTAAACATGCATATATATAATTGTCTATCGATTAGAGATTCTGTTGAAAATATCTTCCATACTCGGTGATATTTCCTTTATGAACACAAAAATGATGATCAACACAACAGCTATAGCTGCAATGGAAGCAACCGGTGCAACAATCTTCACTGGAAATTCCTTCTTTGGCTTGTCTATGCATTTACTTGATAGACAAAGATCTTTGTTTCCAAGGACACTACAAATAGGAAATTCAGACTAAAGAGTAAAAAGAAGTATACATTAAGTTGGGATAATGATTAATTAGTTAAAAGAGTAATATCATGTGAGAATCTTTCTTACTATAACTTTAGTCCTTCCGTTTCTCTATCTCGAAGAACTTGAGGAATTGAACCGCTAAGATTGTTCCCACTCAAGTTTCTGTCCAAGTAAAGGATTATTAAACATGATTCGTGTGAACGTGATAAGTAAATAACATTAAAACTTTATTACATGACTAACAATGATTTCATAGAGGCTAGAAACTCAGGCACCATTCCACTCAAAGTGTTATTTGACAAATCCCTGGGATGTGAAAAAAAAAACAATGAACCCTTAATCTGCTTTGTGTCCATATATCAAATATTTGTCCAAAATTAATGAAGATTAACTTCATACTTACAAAATTTCTAGATGAGTCAGATTCTGAAATTCTGATAGTATGGTTCCAGTCAAGCCACTTGAAGATAAACTTCTGGTTATTAAAAACATATTTAAAATTTTATATTATATACAACCATGTCTTTTAGTAATTTTCCAAAATCTATGTGAGCATAAATAGATCTTACAAAGAAATTATTCTCGGTGGTGATGATATATTTGTATTGCTACAATTTAGTCCATCCCACGAGAATTGGATGGGGACGCATGGATCTCCTTGCCAACTGATTCTATTCAATCCATAAGTTGAGCTGATGTTCTTGATAGCAACCACTAGCATAAATTTCATCAATACGGCAGTAAAAACTAATGAAGTTGTCTACAATATCATCAATATATACCGCAGGAAACGAACTATTCAAATTTTTATACCTTCACTTTCATTGGTCTGAAGTTGTGGAAGCTGAAGAACTGAGTAAACTTCAAAACCATTTAGTAGAGGTGGAAGTGTCGATCTTGATGTTTTTATCAACTGCATACGGCAGTTACCTCCTATGCATTCCTTAGGAATTGTGGTAAGCATAGTCTCTATTTCAAGAAATTTTGGACTAATAGCTTTAATGTTAATTGTTTCTCCATTCAATAGATAGTCGAATTCTCTAGTGTCATTGGCCTTTATTACTTGGATCTCAGCAAAGTGTCTGTACATGTAGATTTGATCATCAGGATTCTCCAAACTCCAACTTATCGTTAATGGCGCGTCCAGTTTTGTAGGTGTCGCGGCCACCTTAAGCACAGCTTGCGGTGGATCATAGTGGTTTTTATTGGACACATTCAAAGTTGTTGAAATTTGAGTCCACTCGGGTTGAAAATATGGAATCCATGTACGATCATACACATCTTTTGGGTACCTGTCACAACTCACAATCATTCTTTTTAATTTTTGTCGACCATTCTTTTCTTCGACGCTGCGTCTGCGTCCGCGTCAGAGCATAACGGCTACGACGGTAATACCTAACGAAGCAAAACGGCGACGACCGTAATACTTAATAAAGCAAAGCGACCATGTAACGGAGAAGCTGCTAAAAGAGGAAGTGTCGCAGGAGGTGGCCGCGATACCTAAAAAATGACGCTGTATTTTTCCAGCGTCACCAACAACACCGGCGTCACTGTTAAACGTAATCGCAGCGTCACAGACATATGAACACGAACACCATTTTTAAAATCTCTATAGTGTATTTTTTGGTCGCCGAACGCTTGACGCAGCGTCGAAGAAAAGAACAAGGCCCAACTCACAATCATTCACTAATTAATATTTGTTGTTAGACAGTAAGTCGAGTAAAACTCTAAACTATATATGCTCCAACATTCAAATATACATATTAATCTGGAGAGTTATAATATAACTATACTATGTGTCACATTGATTTTAAACACGTTCAGATTTATAAAATAAAATATATATACTAGTTATGGCCTTATGGGTTGGAGTTGAATACGTACCGAATATTAACAGTGGAATTGCTAAGATACATGCGAAAGTTAAGTTTGAGGGAGCCAGATTTAGCCAGGTAAGTATCATTCGCCAATGGTCGTAGTTCTAAAGTTGATATCATCGGTGTAGTTGCCCCTGTCTTAACGAGACAAATTTGCAAAGAGTTTGATCTTGGGATGTGAATGATCTCTTTCCCTGAACCAGATGGTTCATTTTGCAGATTTATTGTTGCCCACTTATTAGGGCATTTCCATTGCTGATACCCACTTTGGGTATCATAGCACATTTTCGATTTTAATTTTTATTTAATTTTTTAAGATATTTATGAAAAATTTAAAAACCAACTTACATTATCAAACAAGGTATATTACATAGGGTTTAGAATTTAAATTACAAATTATTCCAAATATGTTTTAAAAAAATATAATATACTAATACAGGAAGTAGATGTTTAATCAAAAGGCGTTTCTGTTCCAAATTTAAGCCATATGTGTTCAACCAAATCAGCCTTAAGTCGGTCATGAATTTTCTTGTCACGAACTTCGTTTCGAATGCCGATCATATTGGTAAGATTTGTGGACATATTAGTTGAATATGTCATATCGACTTCTGACGTTCTGCTTCCTTCACCCTGTCGTTAGATACAAACAGGAGATAAAAGGATATTTACCATTGTGTGATTCCCTGCATCACACGCCGAAACCTGAAGCCATAAACACACATACCCAAAAGCAAAAAGAAATACATATACAGAACAATACACAAAAACATACAATACATAGATGCCATAAGTTTAGGGTCTTAACAGGAGATGTCTTGCTAATAAAAATACACAACATTTAGCCAACAAAAGCCTAAACACCGCTTAAACACATAGCGGCTCATACCAACTAAGACAACATGTAGGAGATTGTCGCAATTACCCAAATAAAAAAAAGAACCAGATAGTTGTCACCTTGGTTCGCCATATGCAGCTTCAGGGTTGAAACTTCACCTTTGAGCACCCTTATCTCCTCACGGATGTCAGCTTGGTTGGTCATCTGCTGCTTCAGGGAAGAAACTTCACCTTTGAGCACCCTTATCTCCTCGCATATTTCTGCATGGTTGGCCATATCGATCAAGTGCAGGTTCGAAACTTCACCCTGCAGCTCCCTTAGCTCATCTCGTATACCCCCAAGACTCTTTTCTGGAAGCCTTTGCAGCGCAAAGATGTCCTTCTTTTGGTCTCCGATCCTCGTTTCCAACTTAGAAATCTTATTAAATTGATATAAAAAATAAAATTGAAGATGATAAAAAAATCTTATTTTCTTTGATTAGAAGAAGAACTATATACTAATTTATTACATGTTAATACTATTTTTATTAAATAGTAATTGATTATTATGTTATATTTTTTAAGTTATCTTCTTGGTATGCTAGCTTACAAGCAGTGGAAGAACTTAAAAAAAAAATTACATGAGTTAAAATTATAAAACAAATTAAAATAATATTTACTATAACATAAAATACAACACATATATCATTCCGTAGAGATAATTAGTGGTTTAAACATAAGTTAAGGATGACAATAAATTTCTTAAATCAACTTTAATATACACTAAAAAGTAATTGAATAGTTTACTGACAGACAATAAAATGCTATTAAGTATAATTTGTACTCATTAAAACAGTAAAAGAAGGAGAATAGTTTTGACTTTTTTGGTTTTTTATGCCAATATAAAATTATTTAGAAGTTAGCACACATAATATGTTACTTGACAAAATCCTGCTATTTACAAATTTAAGATAAAATTGACCAAAATTTATATTTAATACATCTATCTTTGTGTTTGAAATTAGTTTCAAATTTTATTTTATATTCATTTATTGTCTTAGTTTAAAATATATAAAAGCAAAAATTATGTTTATTAATTTGTTGTTTAATTTAGAATAAATCAGAAATTTGTGTTGATTAAACTAGCTAAGGAAAGATAATATTTTTTTACTTCATTAATTTCTTTCATAAATGCATACATAACGAGGATGCAAGTGATGTGAAAAAACTTATTTTTTTGACTGAAAAAGTGATGTATAGTATTTTATCTTCGCGTCAATACTAATACTAATTAAGTACTATTAGTTTGTTACATTTCAGGTTGATTTTGGTATACAAAAATGTTAAGCATTCGACAAAATAATATATTTTTATAACGGCACACACACATATATATATATATATATTTAACAAGACCGTTGAAACCTCAAAAACTAAACATAAATTCTGAGATTAAAACTGAAGTAATTTCAAGAAATTTATTACAATTACAAATACACATAAATATAATTGTTTGAATAGCATTTAAAAATTACTTACGCATAGCATGGATGCAAAATCTAGTAGATAAAGTATAAAACTTAAACCAAAGTGGAACAGGTTTTTTTTTGGGTTTTAAAGTGGAACTAGGTTGAAACCTCTCACTTGAAGACTGACGCCCTTTAGATAGATCTAAGAAGCATCGGTGTAAAAAGTCAACGACCACTTGAAAGTCATCTCTCTCCCTGTTTGAACATTATGTGACTACTGACTACTCAAGTTGGTTGCTATTAAAAGACTATAAATCCTATAATTGATAGGTTCTCTATAGTGATTAAGACAAGTTGCACATCTTCTGACCAAAAGACTTGCAAATAAGTAATAACAATTGTATTTCCCACTAGAAAACATATTATACTAAATGTGTTAAATTTTATTTTTGTGGGAACGAAGACATGTATTCACGTTTTCAAAGGACTGACTTGGCACTTGTGTTGGTCTTTTGCTTAAAATGTCCAACATAGTTTTGTGCTCCTTGCTAATAATTTATAAACTTCATTCATAGTTCAGAACTTTCTAATTTTGATCTTAAAAAAAACTCTCTAATTTTTTTCTTTTTTTAGGAAAATAAGAGAATATGGAAAATTCACATGGGCTTTTGTTGGTTGCACTTATAACAACGTTTGCTGTAGTTCAATTTGTTCAAGCGCAGGATCCAGAAGGTATGTATCCACATTTACTTGTTATTGTTTGTAGCGTAGTTTTTAGAAGAGAATACTTGTCACTTTTGGCATTCCGATCCTATGATCATCTTACTTCAGAAAAACAGAAGGAAAGCTGATACGATCCTCCTAAGAAAATTGCACTTGCTTGTTTGGTAGCGGTTGATAAACTCGGCCAGATCGGTTTGATCGGAGAGATACTAAGGGGTGAGAGGTTGCCTCGAAGATCCTTAGGCCCAACTCGCGAGAAACAGAAACTGATCAAGGGATGGAAACACCAAGTATTGATCTCGCGGGTCAAGGATGAACAGGCGTGAGACTTGGTCTCTAAAATCCTGTTGCCCCAAAACTAAGTTGAACGAAATCGAAACAAGATGTAAGGAAGGCTGCGTCGAATCCTATGGACTGAATCCGATAAACCAAAAATAAACTTTCAAGGCTAACCACCTAAGAAAGGAAAACTCAGAAAGAACAAGAGAAAGTCTCGAAATTTTTATTGATATGAGTGAATGAGAAAATACAAGGGGGTTCGGCTCTTTATATAGAGTCTCATAAGAAGTGCAAAAGACAGAAATAATAAATAGATGCATTGAATACGATAAAGGACCACTCGGCTTCCTTAGATGTCCGTTTCACTTCTCTTGCGCGAATGGCCTTTCAACTTCTTTGTAACGACTTTAACTAATTCGGATAAGGAAAAGATGTGGGCCTTAACCTCATTAAAATCCCATCCAGTAAACCCAGTGGGACAAACCTGGATGCAAGGAAAAAGAGTATTAAGGGGCCACACCGTCCGAATAAGCTAAGAGTGTTACAGCTCGGTCGCTTAGTGTGGCGTCAGCGAACTTAGCCATTAGTTCGGTGTATAACCTCCAAATGACCACGGACAGCTTCTTAGCTCGGGACCGTGTAATTGGACCGGTGAGCTCGGTCAATTCTGGACTTGGGACGCTCACCTCGGCCAGCTTTCCTTCCTGAACCTCCATCTCGCTTAGCTCGGCCCTTTGGTCGTGATTTCCGGTCTCGACTAGTCCTCCGGCCTGACCCTCAGCTCGCACCTCGTCCATGCTCGTATCATTCCCTCCCTCTTGAAAAGGACTTGTCCTCAAGTCTGGTCCATCTGGAAGAAAGGGAACTAAGTCAGAAACATTAAAGCTTGAACTGACCGTATACTTACCTCGGAGGTCGATCTGGTAGGCATTGTTATTGATGCGGTTCAAGACCGTGAATGGTCCATCGACTCGGGGTAACAGCTTGGACTTCCGTTCCTCAGGAAATCTTTCCTTCCTTAGATAAATCCAAACTTGGTCGCCGGGCTCGAAGGTTCTTTTGCTTCTTCCTTTGTTTGCTTTTCTTTGAAATTGCTCGGTTTTCCTTTGAATGTTCTCCTTGGCTTTCTCGTGCATCTGTTTGACCAGTTCAGCCTTTTTCTTGCCATCTAGATTAAGTATTTCACTCATAGGCAAAGGGGTTAGATCAAGTGGGGTAAGCGGATTAAACCCATACACAAGTTGAAAAGGAGAAAACATTGTAGTTGAATGAACCGAATGGTTATAAGCAAACTCAACGTGTGGCAAGCAATCTTCCCAAGTTCTAAGATTCTTTTTAATCACAGATCGCAACAAGGCTGACAAAGTTCGATTAACTACTTCAGTTTGTCCATCAGTTTGAGGGTGACAAGTAGTTGAAAAGCAAAGTTTAGTTCCAAGTTTTGACCATAGGGTTTTCCAAAAATAACTAAGGAACTTAGTGTCCCGATCTGAAACAATGGTTCTAGGAACCCCATGCAATCGGACTATTTCCCTAAAGAACAGGTCAGCCACATTTGATGCATCATCGGTCTTATGGCATGGAATGAAATGAGCCATCTTAGAAAACCTATCTACAACCACAAAGACCGAATCTCTACCTCTCCTAGTGCGTGGCAATCCTAACACAAAGTCCATGGAGATGTCTGTCCAAGGCTCACTAGGGATCGGAAGGGGAGTGTACATACCTGGGCCTTGGCTTCGGGTTTTGGCCATCTTGCAGACCGTACAACGGCTACAAATTCGCTCCACATCGCGTCTTAGGTGCGGCCAGAAGAAGTGGTCTTGCACCACACTTAGAGTCTTAGCTACTCCGAAGTGCCCCATCAGTCCTCTTCCATGTGCTTCCCTAACAAGTAAATCACGAAGAGATGTGTTAGGTATGCATAACCGATTTTCATAGAAAAGATAGCCATCACTTTGGTAGTATTTGCCATGGGCAAATTTGGAACTGGCTCGGTAG